AAGCCTCTGACTTGTTGAGTAGCAATGTTTGGGTTTTTTTTTGTATAAAGATGTTGTCCATGCAATGTGAATATTCAATGACATCTGTACTCCTGCAGGTCATAAGTGTCTTCTTGCTCAGCCTTCTTACTGATACACTTAGTTGTGGTGAACTCTACTTCCTCAAAAGTATGCAGCAATAAGAATATCCTGGGGCTATTCTAGGATGGCTTTAAATGAAGAAAGCTGTCTCTATAACATGCTGAAAAGATATTCCCTAGTTATCTGGGTCTGATGTTTTAAGGAAAGAGGCAGAGTTTTCTTATATGTATCTGGGTCAGCAACTACACTTGTTTTCCCCAATGAGATTTGGTTTTCCTGTCACTTTAACTTCTAGCACACACTGTAAAGGCTGCTATTTTCTTTGAGCAGCAGCAGCGTCAGTACGGGGGGTTCTTTATTGCCCTAAGGGGCAAAAAGAAGATGCAAGTAATCATGGGCTGATCAAACTGTAATATAACAAGACTCAACAGATGCTAACTGTTTTTTAAGGCTGAAAGTTATTACACTAGCAGTAAACATGAACAAAGAATATGAGCACAGTAAATCCACAATGAAAAGATGGCAAGTGGGACTACCAATAGAAGAAAATATAGTAAGTAATGCAATAGATCAAAGAATGCTGATTGAACAAAATATTACTTCACAATGGAATTTCCAAGATTTTCTCATCAGATTTTATCAGTGTACAAAAACTTATTTCTCCAGCAAGAAAAACACACTTGAAAAACACACAACAGGTGATGCCTGTGGACAGCACACCTCTAAACACTGCACTAGTGTAAGCCAAGAGTATTATGACCTTCTGTGACTGTCACATGCATTCCACATTGCAGCAGTTACCTGCATAACAGTTGAAAAATCATTTATTTTACTGTCATTTTGCTAACACTTATTTAACTCTTCAATAAATGCACATGCTACTTGCTACAGTACTCTGCATGCAGAGAAACCTAGGAATGCATAAGCAATATTGAGGATTGAGGGCAATCCATTTCACCATTACAGGTAAAGTTGTGAGACGTCTCCTATGAGAGACAAATGGCCAGAATAAAAGAAAGTATGATGTTTGCCCTCTCATTACAACCCTGTAATGCAACAAAATGTCAGATGGTTTTAAAAGAAGCAGAATCTTCCCAAGATCTGGTTGAAACATAAAAAACCCCCAATCACTGTTAGGAACATGTCAGTATAAAAAATAGCAATTATTATTTCTGCTAAGCAAGCTGTAATATGCAATGGAAACAGATATTTTACATAGATCTGGTAGCCAAGCCATGACAGAAGTCATTAATGCATGTGGAGCATACTTCAAAGGTCATTTGACATTGACAGGATTCTTCATATTGTCATGAGTTTAGGATCAATGCCTTGGAATTAATCCCTTGCAAAGGGACAGGATCTATAGCTGCACTTAGGACAACTGTTGACTTCATTAGTGGTTTCTAATATGAAAAATTATCTGTTTTTTCCTCAACTGCTATTGTGCTTTGCTTGTCATTGCTGATGTGCATAAAAGATTCCATTAAACTCCAAAGCAATGAAGCTGAAGAAAGCAGAAAGTAAGTCCTCACTTTCCTTTTATTTTTTCCCACTTTGCCTTAACTTTCTGACTCTCAGTTCAGCTGTGTAGCAAGGAAGTCCCTCACCAGCCTCTGCACTCCAGGCATCCATTGCTCCGCCACCTCCTCCTGTTCTTGCCACACACATGCCCAAAACACAGCTGCCTTCCACGCTGGCTGCTACTGCTTCTCTCTCCTCTTGCATTTCTTCCAAGTCAAGTTTACAGTGTTAGACTGAAGCAGTATCATCTTTTCTTTCTTTCCATCCACAGCCCTCCACAAGGTGTTCCTGATTTAAGTTGCGAAGCCACAGTAACCATAAATAAATAATAATAATAATGTGAATTTCTTAAATTTGGTTAATAGGTAAGTACATTTTTCCAATGTTATTTTCTTCAAGTGTAGTAGCCTGTCTTGATTCCTGTAGCAGTGAAGTCAACAAGCATGATCCCAGTGAAAAATGGATGCCTGATACCTGCTTCATGAGAAGAGGCTTGTAGGCATGGCATCTCCAGAAGATGTGAGTGACTGCCTCTTTGTGACCCACACGTGCACTGCAGCCTACTGCAAGGCTTACTCCTTCTCAGCAGCTGCAGCCCCCAAACAGCTCAGTTTAAGATTAAAGCTTTTTATTTTAAAAAAAACCTTTACCACATGTTTACAATCTTTTCCACATTTATGGTTGCATTTGTTATGATAGTTTTCCCTTACTCAGTCACTAGGTCCATGCAATGAAGCGAAAATCCAGTCTATCAGCTAGATAACATCCTGAATTAAGGATAAAGAATGCTAAAAATCTGGGCGTGCAGACGTGTGTGCATGGAAGCTGTGTGTATCTGTGTAGTTACATCCACACAAACACTCTTAGAGAAGTAGCTTTAATCTGAATTTTGTTTATTTAGTGATGCAAGTTTCACAATGTACTGTAACATTTATTTTTAATTTTTTTTAGTTACAATCATGCATGGAATAAATGAAACATGTTCACTAGTTAATAGGAGTGCAACTTTGACTAGGATCAAAACCAAAGTGAAATTGAAAAATTGAGATTAATTTTGAATTTCAGCTGAAAAAATATATGGGGAACTTTTATCCCATTTGTACAGACAGGTAAGTAGACCTTTTTTTTTTTTTTTTTTTTTCATCTACTCCTCTAGCAAGTTTTATATTTTATCTGGGACAGAATTTTGAAATGGTGATTCCTTATATTTAATGTTAGATGAAAGTAATAATTTCTCTATTTTTTTTCTATCCTCCTTTCTAATCTGATATGCTTTAAATTAATCACAAAATGTTCTAATATTATTATATCCTTATACTACTGTTCAGAGTGCACCAACTCCAGAAGTAAAACTTCAATGAATAAGAAAAAGCCACAAAGCTCACTTTGTTTTATGACACAGGTTCAAGTGTTTTATTGCAAGGTAGTAAGGACATCTAAAACTGAAGTTTTATCCTACATATCCTGGAAATTATATACTAAATATCTTTTATTAGTGTTTATTAAGAGCCACCAAAAATGCCTTCAGGTTTGAAATAGAACATGTTAAATTTAGTGGATAGAAAATGTAGAACTTGTCTGTAGTTTTATCACAGCTGCTACCATAGTCCCTTGTATTTCAGAATAGTAATTCTTTAGATGAAATCTATCTTTCAGAAAGCTTTGGAATTATCTGGATAGGAGCAATATTCAAAATTGTTTTTTGTCTGTTAAGACTTTTGTAGTTACTAATTATCCAAGAGATAGCAATGAAGCATCCATATATACACTATTGCTATCTAATATAGCAGGGATAGTTTTATTGAGGTATTTTATTGATTGGGATCCTACAGTTAAAGACAGTTTTTAAATGAAAAAACGTTGCAACAACCACCCTCATAACAAAAAATGTTTGGTGGTTTTTTTGTTTGTGGTTTGTTTGTTTCTTTCATTCTCTTGGCAAATCACAGATTTTCCTTGGGGGCAGGAGGGGTGGAGGGGGAAGGGGAAGAAGGGAGGTTCTCTTCGTAAATCATTCTTAAAAACATCTTGTGCAGTTTTCATGAGTGGCTACATCCCTACAACACAAAAATCTAGCAATTTAGCTACCCAGTCACAAATTTTATTGTACACCTTAACCAGGCTTGAACAGTAGAGAACATAAGAATACAGCTGGCTATAGTAAGACCTCCTGGTTTACATAATAACAACGAGAGTAATTAGTATGTTAAAAGGAACTAGATTAATTATAATTTGCCTGTATATAAATAATATTAATTCACTGCCACTATGGGAACAATATTTACTATAATTTATTTTATTTGAATGTGAAGCAGATGATTGATTTCTGCTGCAGAGATTTTAGCAGTGATCTTACCTGTAAACTTTCTATATGTAGCACGGCCATTTGCTTTGGGCATGAAATACTGAAAGACATCTGTATAGATTAAGTTCTTAGGACCAGAAACGGAGGTTGGTGATACAGCTGTATAAACTCTGAACAATAACAATGCTCCTGTCCAAAAACAGTCCAAACCTATCTTCTTTTGAATTGATACTCCATGCCTCCTGCTCTCTCCCTGAAAGCATACAGTCCTTACATGACATTTTTCTCAGAGAAACATCTTTTTTCTCAGCCTCAGTCATTTCCATTTAGAACTTGGTTTCTTGCTAGATTGCCTTACAGTACCACATACTTCATTACACAGAACTTAATTTTTACTTGCCTGAGTCACCCTTCCATAATGTTCTGGAGGAGACAAGATATGTGCTTAAATTTCACTGGCTGATGCCACAGCAATTTAAAAAGTCAAACAGGTGCTTGGCTGGAAACTCATGCATTTAGAAGCCAGTGAAAGTCCAGGGCTGGAGTGTCTTAAATACACAACTGAGACATGCATGCTTCCTCCCCCCTCCTCCCAGTTTCTCTTTATGTGGATTAAGCAAACCAGTTGATTCTTCTGAAAGTTGTGGTGAAGGAAAATTAATAACTGCCCTGAAAGTCATAGCATCACTGTCTCCCTAAGGTGAACCACATAAAAAACTCCAGAAAGCATGTCAACCCTGTGAAGTCAAAGGCTACAGCTAGCCAGTCTTTAAGCCCTGTATAAAGGAGGCTGTTCAACACGGAACTTCTATTTGATTTCTTTTCTTTGTTGATAATATAAAGCAATCAATCATCGAGGGTTTCCATAGTAACAAGTGAGCTTTTTTTTTTTTTTCTTTTAAATTTTTATTTTAAAGCTGCTTCATGCACTTATCACACAGATAGAGTGGGATAACTGGCAAGGGATACTGTTTCTGCTTTCCTGCTGTTATTCAACCAGAGCAGTGTAAGGCAAAGCATGGTTTTCAATGAAACTGGAGATTTATTTTCCCTCCTCTGTAAGAACAGTAAAAAAACTTTACAATTTACTTACATCTTTGGTTTCTGCGTTTGCTCTTGTACATAGTCATTCTGAAGAAATTCCACTTTTTAGGAAGTAATTGCCTTGAACACAGACAAAAGAGATGAGATCGTGCTTCTGCTTTGCAGTGAGACAGTTGCTCACTGACAGAAGGTAACCAGCAATCTCTCAGAGAAAGGCAGGGTAATACCATTCTCCTAAAATCCAGGGGAGATGCTACTGGCTCTAACTATTTTCTGTGTTACAAAGCTCAGAGATGAAATGTATTTATTTTCATTTATTTTCAAATGTATTTGATAACAGCTAATAAAATCCGGAAAGCATGTGGAATCATGTAATCAGACAAGTAGGGTAATGTGCTATTCAATACTCTGACATCAAGACTCCTTGAAAAAGCCCTGATATGACCAAAATTGCTTAAATGACCTCATAAACTAGTAAAACCTACTTTTTATTTGAGAGTTCTTAGAATTATGCATATGAGAGCATGAAAATATTTTGGGCTACATTTTCAAGCAAAATTAAAATTAAAAAACTCAACTGATGTTGATCAATGAAATGCTGACTGCAGGTCTGCACTCAAGAATAGGTTATTCAGGAAACAACATACAAAATGCTTTGCCTTTTTTTTTTTTTTTTTTTCATGCCTATGCTCACTTCTGCATTACCTCTCAATGTCTGAATTTGGGGAAATTTATTTAAGCAGTAATCTACTGATTGCTCATTTTGATAACTGCTTCCTTGCCCGCTTGTCTGCTGAATCACAAGATCATGGTGAAAAAAGTAGCAGCATCATATGTACTTCCACATGCATGTCTGTCACCCTTTCAAGAAACCAGACATCTACCTAAAGGGAGCAGGGAAAAGGAGAAGAAATTCTTGTCATGTTAGGAAGATGCAAGGAATGACAACATCCAAGAAAGAAGTTGCTAGTGGCACTTCTGCAGCTGGAAAGGGGTGGAAATTCCAGTTCATTCAGTAATGAATCTGTCTTCAGTAAAACTGTGTTAAATTAATTCTTAATGTTTTAAGAAATTTATGTTTTGTGACCTTCATGTTTTGAGATCTTGGCCCTAGATACCACAAATGCAGAGGTGTCAGTGGATTAGAGATAGAGGGTGGAGTAATGAAAAAATAGTGACTGAAATATCTTGAAAACTAATAATAACTGTCTTATTTATGTTTAAAATGCATGTATTGACAACAGCTGTCCAAGCTACTCAAAGAAATCTAAAAATATCTTTGGCTTACATGGTCTATGGATCATTCCTGTTTCAGAAAGGAAAAAACAATCCTTTTCAAAGACAGAAATGGTTTGGAGCATCCATTGTCTAAAAGCACTGACTTAAAGTTCATTTATTTAAAACAAAACAAAACAAAACAAAACAAAAAACAGCATATAAAATAAATAAAAAGCAAAGACTCTCTTAAACTGCCTACACTAAAATTATACCTTTCCCATCCTTTTTTTTCCTCTCAGATTTTTTTTTTTTATATATCTCCAGTATAACGATTTTTCACTTTGTGCATCATGTAATTTTCCTTTCAGTTGTTCAATATTTACATGTCCTCACATTGGCATACCTCTAGCTACTGAATTGAAAAACTCTACATTGGCTCTTTTCATCTATTTTTTCTTTCTCTGTCAAACCTGACCACATATCTTTTCATTTGCTTCAGATTTCTATCAACATAGTCGAGGATAAATTTTAGCCTGAAGAAAATTAAAGCAAGGGATGCATTTTTTAGATTTATTTAGGATTTCAACTACTGTGGTCTCAAAATGCCACACTTGAAGGAATACCATCTCTATAATGGATTTCAGCAGAAAGACGGGAATTTGCAAAACACACCAACAGTGACAACAAGGGGAAAAAAAAAAAAATTGGCTAAGTCATAGCTAACTATGGAGCATACAAAATGTCTGTACCATATAAAAAGACCATGTACATCATATACTGAAGCAGCATGCACAGTTTATATCCATTGAAGTAGTTTATTTATTTATTTATTTCAGTAATTTACATGCAGGAAGGCTATTTCCCCCTGCTTTACTTTTTTTGTGGGTTGATTTCCAGCAGAATAAAGTCTATGATCTGCCTCAGACTAGGGAGATCTGTGGTGTTCCTTTATATTTGGTGCTTTGTGTAGCAACCTTTGTTCTCTTTTCTTGCTCTTTTCCTAAATCTACCTGAAGCCTATCATCAGTTTAAATTTTCCTTCTGGAATTTATTTGGTAAGATGCCCTCAGTCTTTTTTCTCTACCCACATTAAGTCTTAACTACAGAACTTCTTTTCCATATCGCTAATGACTAATCTTTCATTAATTTTTACCTTGTATTTAACCTTGATATTTATTAATATTTCTCCATATTATATTACACATACCACATGCAACAACATGTATATTTGTCCATTGTTCTTTTATTAATTATTCTATTACAACAATGTATTTTATGCAAATATCTTGGTAACTATAGAATATAAAAAATATAAAATAAATGGGTATTTCATGGGACAGGAATTAATTTGTTTCAAATCACTGACCCCTGAAAACACTGTCTTTGTGTTAATTGGAACTCTGATTACTTCTTCAGCAGTGAAATGCAGTTGCTAAAAACAATGTAAATACATTCTTTGGTGAATCGTTCTAGATCTGTTCAGAAAAAAAAATGAAAAAAAAAAAAAGTACTTGAATATGCTAACTAGCTTTGAGTGGGGAGCATAGCCTCTTGTTTCTCAGTGTTACTGTTCTTTTCTAGAGGATTTAAAAATTAACATCCAAACTTGCAGCTTTAAAAAAAACAACAAACAGAACCTTGACTATGACTGGTTCAACACAGCAAGTTTAGTGAGGTGGCAAGAAATGTGTCGAATGTCTCAGAAAGAAAAATCTAATCGCATTACGCTTACTATGTTTCTACAAAGATACACCATCTTAAATTATTCTAAAATTTTAGATATATTCTTAAAGCAGTCTATTGGAATGAATTTTGTCAGTTAATTGCTGTCGGTAGTAAAAGAATGAATAACGTCTTCATCTGCACACCCCCAGTCATCTCTCATCTTTCTCTCGTTTCCATCTTAAAGGTGCCAATGAGGAGTTTTTATTTGAATACTGCAATCAATTTCTCAGACCATGTCCTAAACAGAGGAAAACAGATATTGTACAAATATAACTTGTGACTTGAATGTCACACATTACTCATCAATAAACACTTATTCTGGGCTGTATCCTTGATTTTGTTTTTGATGAGCAGTTCTTAGACAAAAATGGAAGCTGTGGGAGGCTTAAAGTATGTTCTGTCTCTCAGTCTTTACTTCAATGTATCCAGAGTCTTCTTAGATAATATCCCTTTAGGGCTTCCACTACGGTTATTTTCAAGATGTCAACTAACAAAATATTACACCTCTTCAAGACAATTATTGATGTATTAAAATTAAAATATGCACTTCATATGTGCACACTTTTTATTGGTAAAAAATTGAAGAATCATTTGCCAATAATGCTTTTTAATATGGTGTTACATTAGATAAATAAAATTCACTTTACCAGGAAATGTCATTTAGCTGTTAAGGCAGGTTTATTCTAACTTATTCCCTTTATGATGAAAGGACAGAGCTTAAAATATGGGCCAAACCTGACTAACACAGCTATAATATTGAACATACTGTGGCAAGCATAAGAAAGAGCGACATTTGTACTTCTCATGTTTGCAGCTGTAACTTAGAATTTCATAAATGCTTTTCAAGAAACAGCAAAGCTGGCTAGCAGTCCTGAACAGACCAGTAATTAAGACTGATGAGAGTGCCAAAGAAGGAAAATTTTACTGAAAATTTACCTGTAAATTAAAGCACTCAATTCAGCTTCATAAACTTTGCTGTCTAGCAATGTTTTGATGATAAATGGTATCTGAGACATCCACAGAGTGCCAGAAAATATGGCACAGGATCTGCATGAAACCGAAAAATTTCTGGAGCACTCTGCTGAACTCAAATCCATCTAAAATGGCTGTACACAAATATTTCATCATCATCATTATTAAATGGTTTGAGTTGGAAGGGACCTTCAAGGTCATCTAGTTCCAACACCTCTGCATGGGCAGGGACATCTTCCACTAGACCAGGTTGCTCAGAACCCCATCCAATCTGGTCTTCAAGACTTCCAGGAATGGGGCTGCCAAAACTTCCCTTGACATTCCCTTCCATTTTTAACCCATTACCTCCTGTTCTCTCACTACAAGCCCGTGTAAAAAAAAACCCAAAAACCCTCCCCAGCTTTCCTGTAGGCCCCATTCATGTACTGAAGGCTGCTATAAGGTCTCCCCAGAGCCTTCTCTTCTCCAGGCTGTACAGCTCCAAGTCTCTCAGCCTGTCCTCACAGGAGACGTGCTGCAGCCTTCAGATCACCTTTGTGGCCCTTCTCTGGACTTCCTCCATGAGCTCCATGTCCTTCTTAAATTGGGGGTTCCAGAATTGGGCACAGTACTCCAGGTGGGGTCTCATGAAAGCTGAGTAAAAGGGGACTCCCATGACCTGCTGGCCACACTTTTGATGCAGCTCAGGACACGGTTGGCTTTCTCGACTACAAACACACATTGCTTGCCCATGTTGAGCTTTTCATCCACCACCACCCCCAAGTCCTTCTCAGGACTGTTTTTCATAAATGCTTTTCAAGAAACAGCAAAGCTGGCTAGCAGTCCTGAACAGACCAGTAATTAAGACTGATGAGAGTGCCAAAGAAGGAAAATTTTACTGAAAATTTACCTGTAAATTAAAGCACTCAATTCAGCTTCATAAACTTTGCTGTCTAGCAATGTTTTGATGATAAATGGTATCTGAGACATCCACAGAGTGCCAGAAAATATGGCACAGGATCTGCATGAAACCGAAAAATTTCTGGAGCACTCTGCTGAACTCAAATCCATCTAAAATGGCTGTACACAAATATTTCATCATCATCATTATTAAATGGTTTGAGTTGGAAGGGACCTTCAAGGTCATCTAGTTCCAACACCTCTGCATGGGCAGGGACATCTTCCACTAGACCAGGTTGCTCAGAACCCCATCCAATCTGGTCTTCAAGACTTCCAGGAATGGGGCTGCCAAAAC